GATTTTTTTTATGCAGCATGGTGGGCACTTGGGTTTTTATTATTTTATTTTCAAATGTTGTTTTGCATATCTGAACTACTTCGTGCTAGGTCTTGAAGAACAGATAGCCAGTTAAAAGTTTGGGTTTTTCATTTTTGTCCTCTAAGCTTTTTAGGCAGATGTTTGGAAGTTAGGTCTCCATCTGATAAATACCCTCTTTTCTGCCTGTAAAGGGAACCACTTAGAGGGCTTAGTTATTTCATATTTCTAGCCTTTAAAATTCTTAAGAGGCGCTGTTTATTTTTTCTTCCTTTGCCTTGTACTGGAGAAAAGCACCTCTGCCCCTCAAATCTGAAAACAAAGACCAAACAACAAATCAAACCTGACAGAACTTCTGCTTTGCGCGCGATGACCAGGTTCACCATAAAATGGTTAAGACCAGTTAGAAGTAAATCCCCCCCAAGGATGCTGTGAGCTGGGCGCTGGGACTCTCGAGTGACAGCCACCCAGAGTTCTTGGCTTTGGGAACGCTAAAGGGGAGAATTGGATTGGAGAAGGAGGCGGGGAGGAAGGAGGTGAGGGTGGGAGGAGGGAGGGAGGAGCGACCGGCCCGCTCCAACACACCCAAAAGACCAGATTCATCATAGCACGAAACTTCACAAGTTACACCCACTCCCTCCGCCAGCCAGCCGGGGAAGGCTGCTGCTTCCTCATTTCTGTGACTGGAAGTTTGAAGCCAGACTGGAAAGACATGTGCGCCTCGCTGAGCAGGGGTGAGCTTCAGTTTTAAAATCGATTCTTTCCACCGGCGATCCCCGGGGTTGGGTGTTCGGGAAGCGGCGGTTTGGCGATCTGCCGGAGGGTGGGAAGGCGGGAGCTGCGAGCTGTGACCTGCGGCTGGGAACCTGAGCGCCGCGGAGCGCGGGGTGGGAGCCGCGTCTCCAGGCTGCGCCCCCAGGCGCCGCGCGTGGCCGGGGAGCTGCGGGCGCCGCCGCGGTGTTGATCCTGGCTCCGTGGTAAAGGGACTTTGAAAGAGAGAGCTTCGTCGGTCCCCCTGGCCTTCTGAAAGCCAGGATCACCCGTTTGGGATTCGAGGTCGGGAAGGAGGTTGAGGGATCCAGTCACCCACTAAAGATGCGTCCTACCCAGGGCTGTTCCGCTGCGCTTGAGTCAACGTCCTTGACAATACCCCCCACCCCCACCAGGGGCTTGGGATTGGAGTGCTGTGGGTGGACTAGCACCTCGAGGGGCTTTCTGGAGTGATTTGCATTTGAAAAAGTCCGACTGAAGGTCTCCTGGCTGTGGAGGTGTTTGCTTTATCTGGAACTTTTTTTTTTTTTTGAAAATGTCTGTTTTTCTGGGGCAGCTGGTTTATCTTCAGCTTGGTTGCCCAAGTCAGTTTTGGGTGGGGTGCTGAGAAGAAGTATGGGAGGAGGCAGGCACTGGGGTTGGATCATTACAGGTGACTATGTCCCCACAAAGGATAAACTTGACCCAAATAAAGTTTCTCACAAACCTTCTTTAGGCTTTATTTCCAGACATCAGGGGGCTTTTCCTTTGGTGTGTGTGGTGTTTGCTCATTGCACCGAGTTTGATAGAGGCTTTGGGGCTGCTACCTGTTTCCTTTATTTCGTGTCTGATCAACCACTTAGTAAGTGGGAGCCCCAGCTAGAGCTTCAGTTCTGTTTCTGGAAAGCGAATCTTTCATAAATTTTGTTTTAGAGAACTGCCTTACTTCTAGGGCAAGGAACAAAGGTGAAGAAATGTCTAGATCTTACATTTATAGCAAACCAAATATTTAGTTGATAAGGATTTCTCTTCCAGGTCTAGGGCAAGTCCAATGAGGAGGAGGTTAGTACCTGATTTTATCAATATTTTCCTAATTTCAGAGTGGTATAGACTGGCTTTCTTAGCAAACCTCTACTTGAATGTTACCTGTCAGGACACAGCTTGAGGGGACTTTCTGGCGTCTTTAAAATTAAAGATAACATTTATAACAAAATTTATTCTTAAACCATACTAGACCTGACTCAGGCAGAACAACAGGTGAATAATCCAGTGCTGTCACACCTGCTAGAGCCCAAGTTCTAGCTCATCTAGGAAGGACTGGGCAGATAGATGTGAACTTGAGGCTGACAGGCAGTTGGTGGCTTACTCTCGCACCCCCAAGGAACCCTTAGCCACTCACTCAACAGGAAAGACAAGCAGATATGACCTTGTGATCCAGCTGCTGAAACTGACTAATAGATGGAGTTTTACGGAACAGTAATCCTTAGCCAGAGAAAGGGGAATACATGATTCATAGACGAGAGATTTTTAGATATTATTACTTGGGACTGTTAGAAGATAACATCTGAAGTTGGGGTTAATTCTGCTGTATGCTGGTATAGGTGTAGGAGAAAGCTACACTTACTGTATTGATTGTTTTTTCACTTGGTCCCCACTCCCCTCTCAGAAGTGACCCAGTTTAGTTCTGGATATTTTTTTTTTCTTTAACTCAAAGATTGTGTTTATTTAATAGATATAGAACCACTAAAATTATTTTGTAGTAACTAATTTTTACAGGCATTTCTCCAGTTCATGTCAAGTTTAAAATTGATTGATTTAAAGTTGTACATAATATCCTCTCATAATATTTTTAAACACCATAGCATCTGTGGAACTGTTTCCTTTATCTTCCTGGCATTATTTGTGCCTGTTCTGTTATGATGTCAGGGATCATACCAGGGCCTCTACATTGCTAGGCAAGTGCTCTACCACAGGGCTACATTCTCAGTCGGGTATTTCTTCTTGATCAGTCATGCTAGTGTGTTATCAATATTATTAGTGTTTTGGAAGAACCAACTTTGTTTTTTGTTTGTATCTTAACTGAAGCAAAAAGCCCAGCAGAGTTTGTATGCATTTAAAAAATTATGCTTGGTGGAATGCTGTCAAAGAAGATTTTAAAACACCCTTCAAAAATCAGCCATTGATTCCCTTAGCTGCAAGGAGGAGGATATTATGTATTTCTCGTTGTGTCTTGACGTAGATGGTTTCTCACTTTTATTAAAACATACATACCTTCTGTTTGTGAGCATCATACACCTTGGACTGTATTGTTCCACAGTGGGTTTTGTGTATTCACATGGGCACACCCTGTGAAATTGTTTTAGAAACATCTAACTAGAATATGCATGAGACTTACTGGTAATTTAATGTGAATTGTGGGTGCATTCAACCCACTTGACAATACACGTTTACCTTGTACAGGAGCAGAACAAATTTGCTGTAATGACTGGGGAAGAACATTTCATTTTGGTTCATATTTAATGCATGAGCCTGAGCATTTGAAAGTTTTCTTAGAACAACTTCTTTCTGAGAAAGTGACAGTGTAAGATCAAGAATGCTAGAGTCAGAAAGGCCAGAATTCTTGCTCTGCTGCCTTTAGCTTTGTAGCCTCAAGAAAGTTCCCTAAGCTCTCTGAACTTACCTTTCCCCAACTGTGAGATGGAAATACTGAAAACTGCTTGTGGGGGCTGTTGTAAGATTTTTCACTATGAATATTCATGGAGAACACCTATCATGTGATTTGGCACATAGTAGGCACTTAATAAATTGTACTACGCTGTTTTCTGCCCCCTGTTCTTTCTTGTTCCTCCAACCTCACCACCCTTCTCAGTGCCTTCCTTCCAGAAAAGTGAAAAGTTACTGTAATAGGGTAAAACAAAAACTACCCTCCCCATTTGCTCTCTCTTCCTTAGGTGTGAGTGGGGTTACCAGGGTCACCATATTTTCATAGTTGACTGGTGAGAAACTAGTCTTGTATTTTTTTCCTTCCAATTTTTAGCTTACCTTCCTAGACATTTTTGTTGTTGTTCTTTCTGCAGATCATTTTCCCTCTTTGAGCATCTCATTGCTTGGTTCTTCTCTTCTTTTCTCTCTCTCTCTTTCTTTCTTTCTTTCTTTTTTCTTCTTTTCCTCTGTTTCTCTTTCCTTCCCTCCCTCCCTCCCTCCCTCCTGCTTTTTCTTCCTCTCTTACCTTTAGAGGTAGGAATGAAATGAGTACAAATTCTAAACTTGCCAGAGACTGAAAAAGATTCCACTGTTGAGTACTGTGATTGACACTTGCAGCCAAGAAGGGGAGATAAAAGCAGAGGGCTGAGGAAGTTGCCTGCTCAGTAGTTCCCCAAGAAGGAACAGGAGCCTTATGGGAGTGGCCCATCCCTGAGCCATTTGTCTTCCTCAGGTTCATCCAGTGGAAAGGTCCTGGTAAATACATGGTATCATTTATCCTTATTTAGCAAATATATTGAAAGGGGTGAACTGGAGATGGGAAGAGATGGTGAGCTGGCCAGAAGCTTGGATTGCTTTTGGGGGGCTTTGCTAAAGTCATTTGCTGCTCTGCCCAAGGAGCCAGACTTGGTTTGCATTTTGAGTAGGGAATGGGCCTCAAGTGGGCGGTTATTTTCACAGAAGACAGATTGTGGAGCTGGACCTGGTCTGGCCTGTCTACTGTGGCCAGTGGTGCTGTTTTGTTCTAGCTGATGCTTTTATGAGAGTTTAGACAAGGAGGTGGAGTTGCACAGGTGTCTTGCAGCAGAGCCACCCCAGGTGCTTGAAAACAAGTATTGGCGCGGTTTTCATTTGGTAAAACTTTGGGGAAAGAGAGTATCACTTTTGGAGCGTGTTACTCATTTGATGGTTTGTGTGGATATGTGAGACCTTGTCCTGAACTGAAGATTTCATTCAGGACTTCAGAATCATATGCACTGATGTTTTCATAAGTCATGAGGTTTGGGTGGGCAGTAGTGACCACTGCCAAGGTGCTTTCCACAAAGCCCCCAGGGCACAAGGGCTTGGTAAGTGCCTTTGACTATTAAAAAACTACTTGCGTATTCAAATATAAATTTAGTACTAAATACTAAAGTATTGAGAATCCACAAGAAGTGAGGTGCTTTTCTGTTATTCATATTTCTGAAGGTGACCATGTGATTTCTAGAAATATGCAGAAACCCATTTTCTTCCTATGTCTGCTCTTATAGGTAGAACCACTGTGCACTGAGGCCCACCTTTCCAGACCTGAAAGCAAGGAGGAGGAGGAAGAGGGTCAGTCCATGAGTATCACACTCTGAGTTCCAGCCCCTGCCCTACGACGTGAGCAGCCCCTGCAGATGGCACCTTTGGAGATCTTGACAAAGCCTCTTCTGTTTGGGATGGGGTAAGTGTGGCATTGCAGAAGCCTGGGGAATGAAGCTTGCAACTTTTTAAAGTTTTTCAGGACAGTCGGAAGTTCATTACTGGTGACTTGTCTTGGTGGGAGGAGAGGTTGATGAGTCTCCTTTCTTGCAATCTGAGACTTTGAAGTTTGTTTCCTGGGAACCTTCTGGTGCTTGGGGGGGTCCATTCTTGTTGGTTTGTTGCTATGGTGATATTGTTTTGGAGATTTCAGAGGGTAATTTCCTACCTTTGTCTTCCTGACTTCTCTTTTGCCCGTCTCCATGATACTAGGAAAGAGGAAGAAGGAATGAAATGGACTGCAGTGGGGGAAACTTGGCATCAGAAGGAGCTTGCGGAGGGGCTTTAGCATGTGGGCACATGTTATTTTTAATGAGAGAGGGTGAACCTTTATCTCCCCTGCAAAGTGGGTTTGGGTAAAGTGGAACATTCATGGGAGTTTCATTGCTGTGGTCAAACTAGACCTTTTCATCGCAGAATAAGCCTGGGGATTTCTGCAGAAAGGACCAAGGGATAAAAAGTGTTTTCACAGTCACTTCCAAGGAGAAAGACACTGTGAAGAGATCTTCTCCACTTCCTCCGGAGTCTAGCAGAAAGGGCTGTGCTTACTTACAGAGTTTCCCTTCTGTGAATGGGGATAGTGACATCACCCACTTACTTCACAGGGGGAGAATGATTTAGACCCAAGGGGACTTCAGGCTCTAAGAAGTTGCTATTCTCTTCAACTTTGCCTGCCTCCCATGAACGTACCCACCAACCTTATTAATGGTGTATATTGAGGCATTATTTGACATGAACCAGGTTTTGGTAAAATGCTGGTTGGCTCAGACTTTACACAAAATAGGAGCCAGAATCGCAGCAGATCCTTCTGAGGCCTGACCCCCGCAGCTTCTGAGCTTTCCCACCCAGCATTCCAGGCCCTGCTCAGGGATCCTGCTACAACTTGTTCCTCCAGTCTTGCCTGTTGCCTGTTGCTCTGCCTGCCAGACTGCAGAGCCCAGCCCCGGCCACTCCTCTCTCAATGCTCACAGTGGCTGATAGAGGACTCTTCTTAGCACATGCTCTCTATGTTCTTGTCCCTGCCCCTGGGATTCCCTTTGTCCCCCACCCCTGCTTCTCTTTTCTGACCCCAGGAGCACTGGCCTCAGGACTTGGATCCCCTTTGACCAAGTGTCTGGGAATCCTTGTACCCCCAGGGCATCCTTAGTAAGGATCAACCATGAGGAGGATGCACTATTCCAGGAGGACTCCAAGGGTTCACTAGTCCTGTCTCCAGAGAGCCCCTGTGACTTCCTTCCGTCCAGTGTCCCACCCACCTCCCATCCCAACTGTTTTCTCTGGAAACGCTTCCTAATAGGCAAGGTAAACACGACTTCTCACCTGGCTTAGGTAACTTGTTCAGAGCAACTGAGCTGGGAAGTGGGGGTGGGGGCAGCTAGGATCTGAATCCAGGAAGCCTGTTCACTTAAGCAGTGTGTTCCAGGGTGTGCCTCCAGTGGGCTGCCCGCCCTTCTCTTTAAATTTACCTCAGCATGGATTCTAGTGTCTGCCTTGGACTGTGGCTGGATAGCCTCGTGGATTCACTCCCCTGGCTCCTCTCCTTCCGGGTTTCTCCTGGGAGCAGCCTTCCACCAGCTTTTTGCTGATTGAGGTTTTACTTCTCCTCAAGGTTATCTCACGTCCACCCGCTCCTCGCCGTCTTCCTACTCTGGTGCAGCCCACTGTCCTTGTTACCCAGCACCAGCGTTACCTGTCTGGACGTTGTCTCCCATATCTTCCCTTCCCCAGCAGGGTGGCACGTCCCTGAGAGCGGCCACGGTGCCTTGTACCACAGCCAGCATTCGGGAATCTTTGGGGATCAACTAAAGCCTGGTCAGAGGTGCCCAGAGAAAATGTTAGGGTTGTTGCCAGGTTCTCTGAACGAAGGCAGATCACAAGGCCAAAGAACCAAACTAAGAAACAAAAGTGAGGATAAACCTGAGAGTTGTGATCCCATTGTGGTGTGGGCCTGTGTGTATTTTCGCACTGCAGCTGTTGGAGCTGAATCATAGAGTGGATGTATCATCCCTTGGCTTCAGGCACGGGAGTTAGGCCATCTTCCCCGGAGGGAATCGAAGCAGATTTATGTGATGAATAATGTGGATCCTCTTCCAATGCTTGGGGCCGAGGTTGAACAAGTTCCATGAGAATGAAATGAAGGGGAAACTCGTCCAGCATCCCCCCCACCCCAAGAGGGTAACAAATACATCCCTCAGCGGGGCCAGTGCTGAGCTTCAGCTGAGGACCCCCACAGTCCACGGCAGTCCCCTTCTGCTCCTGCCCACTTGGACATTGTGTCCACTGGGTTATTCCCATCCTAAGGTTGTAGAAAGTGGGCTAGCCTGGGGCTGAGGGTGTAAAAGAAAAGAGCACCTGTTATGCACTTGGCTTCCTAACAAATACTCTCCAACATAATACAGTGTTCCTCAGTATGAGGGAGATTGGTTCCAGGACACCCTTGGTTATCAAAATACGTGGACGTTCAAATCTCTAATATATAAAATGGTGCAATGTTTGTTTTAACCTACGTACATCTTCCAGTGTACTGTAAATCATCTCTAGATGACTTCTAAGACCTAATGCAACAGAGACGTTATGTAAAGAATGTCAAAAACTGTGTTGTTTAGAGAATGACAACAAGAAAAAAAAAGCTTGTATGTGTTCAGTACAGATGCATTTTCTTTTTCTGCATACTTTATGAAGATCTGCAATCTGAGTTGGTTGAAATGGATGTAGAGGGTGGATGTGCATGACCATACCTCACACCTGTCTAGCACATGCGTATTCTCTCTCCTGAGTCCAGCTGACCACATTGTGCCGCTTCTGTTTCTTTCCCTCCTTCTCCTCTTTCTTCCTTTATTTGTTCTTTTTAGTTATACATGACAGTAGAATGTATCTTGACATATTATACATACATGGAGTGTGACTTCCCATTCCTGTGGTTGTCCATGATGTGGAGTTATACTGGTCGTGTATTCATACTTGAACACAGGGAAGTTATGTCTGGTTCACTCTACTGTCTTTCCTCTTCCCATCTTCTCTCCCTTCCCTTCATTCCCCTTTGTCTAATCCAAAGTACTTCTGTTCTTTCCCACTCCCCGATCCCCCACCTTATTGTGTATTAGTATTCACATATTGAAGAGAACATTTGGCCTTTGATTTTTTGGAATTGGCTTATTTCACTTAGCATGATAGTCTCTAGTTCCATCCCTTTACTGCCAATGCCATCATTTCATTCTTATTTAAGGGTGAGTAATATTTCATTGTGTTTACGTGCCACAGTTTTTAAATCCATTTGCTGATAAAGGGCATCTAGGTTGGTTCCTTAGTTTAGCTATTGTGAATTGAGCTGCTGTAAATCTTGATGTGGCTGTGTCACTGTAGTATGCTAATTTTGAGTCCTTTGGGTATAAACCAAGGAGTGGGATAGCTGGGTCAAATGGTGGTTCCATTCCTAGTTTTCCAAAGAATCTCCATACTGCTTTCCATATTGGCTGAACCAATTTGCAGTCCCACCAGCAATTGTATGAGTGGACCTTTCCCCCCCACATCTTTGCCAATATTTATTGTTACTTGTATTCTTAATAATTGCCATTTTGACTGGAGTGAGATGAAATCTCAGTGTAGTTTTAATTTGCATTTCTCTAATTGCTAGCTGTCTCTGTGTTTGAACTGCATTTTCTATGACTTCTAAACCCATGACTATCTCTAAGCTTGTTGGCCTTTGGTTCTGGATATGAACCGAGAGGATTAGATGGAGATGTCTAATAGTCACATTATCTCTAGAATTTGGAGATTCCTGAGGTCACTTCTGATCTGTACTTTTTCTATGTTGGCCAGTTCCTCTTAGCACTTCATGAATTTACTAAGGTTATCATTGCTGAAAGACCATGTTAAGGTATGACTTTTAGGGATGGATGGGTAATATTTGAAAACTTGCAAAATTAGGGATTGCACTTTATTTCTAAATGCTCATCCACAGGTGAATTTACCAAACTGGTTCTCCAGGAATGTTAAATAGTCTCTATTCTTCTTTTTTGAAGCAGGAGACCCTCCAGCTAGACTGAGGACCCTGGCCTTCCTGCTCTGTGGCACATTGGGTCTGGGGGTGTTGGTGCTTTGGGTGTGATGCTACAGGATACCCTTGGGCCTTCCGCTGACCTGTTCCTCTGCTGCCCACATTGCATAAACATTGGCGTGGCAGGGACAGATGGTCGTTCCGGGGGCTCCTTTGATGTCACATTTGGTTGCCTGGGTGGGAGGTCGGGTGGTTGCGTCCAGGCTCCACGGGAGGAGGAGAGGCTGCCTGGGAAATACCCACTCGACAGTGGGTAAACAAAAGCTTAACTCTGGAAAAGCTGGGCGCCCTGGTACGCGTATGCAGGCCGGGGCAGCCGTGCAGTCAGATTTACATAAGTGTGTTTAGCTTGGGACGCAGCCAGCCTGCTCAAAACACTGCCTTTCCTCTCTGCTTCTAATTGACGCTCTGCAGAGTTTGGTTTTCTTATGGGGATGTGAATGAACTGCGTGGGGGTTGGTGCCGGGAGTGATGGGCTGTAGATCATTACTTTGAGAGCTGGGGCAAGAAAAGAATTCCAGAGGCCTGGGGTGGTTTTGCTCAAGGCTCCAGAGAAGCCACCTGATGTCCCTGGGGAATCCAGAGAAAGAGCAGTAGGTGCCCTGCTTGCTCCCTGGGATTCTCCGCTGTTCAAACAGCATCAATCTGTGTAATGAGGATGGAAGGCTTTGATGGAAAAAGGAAGTGAGATAATGAAGAACAGCACCCAGACAGGGAGGGTGAGGGGCGGCAGAAACCTTCCCGAAGGGAATAGCACAGAGTTTGACAATGGAGTGGGTTTTTTGTGGTTGTAGCCTTTGCGGGCACAACGGAGGAAGGAACTGGTTGCAGCTGCCTCCCTGAAACCCAAGTATAAAGTCCAGCTA